TAATATGTAGTGCTACACAGTATAATACATAATCTCTATAGTATATATAATGCTATATGGTATGTGTTATTTAGTATATTACTATTATTTTACATTATTAAGATTTAGAAGATTTATACTTATTAATATATAGTATATGTTATATATGGTGTATATATGTTATATAGCATATTCAATGCTATGAACTAAAAATAGATAATATCAAATGTAATTTGATAAAAACTTATCGAACTAATACAAATTGGAGGGGGAGGATGTGTGCTAATTTCCTCAACTTTCATAGCAGACAGTTAATGAATAAATAGATAAACAGAGAAAAAAAGGACTTAAGCATAGTATCTGATATAATAAGTGTTCAGCCATCAAATAACTAAAGGCGGAAGCTGTTGTGGTTGACTTTGGATCATGAGCCTTGTGGGGAGAGGTGAGGGTAGGAAGGGAGAGTTTTCATTTGGTATCTTTCACGCTGTTTGCTTTTTCCTCACACATACTTCTAATTTAAAAAATAACTACAATAAATAAATAATTGTACATCTATGTAACAGAAAACTATGCAGCAGTTAAAAGTAATGGAGTAGATCTATTTGTTTTGACCCAGAAAGCTATCAATCATATAACCTATGTTAAAAAAGCAAGTTTTTAGAACAATACTTAAAACATAACATTTAACTGTGTTACAATAAGCAGCAAAACTGATAAGATGTTGTCCCTACCTTCAAGGAGATTTCTGACCATGCACCCACTTCTGTGTCCTCTGCCCTGGGCCCTCTGGCCTGCTTGGGACCTCTTCCCTTTGTAAGATGCATGCCTCTTATTTGCTTGCTTGTTTGTTTTTTAGGGACAAGGGTCTCCCTCTGTCACCCAGGTTGGAGTACAATGGAGCAATCATAGCTCACTGCAGCCTCAACCTACTGGCCTCAAGCAATCCTCCCTCCTCAGCCTCCTGAGTAGCTGGGACTACAGGTGTGCATCATCATGCCTGGCTAATTTTTTAAAATTAATACCTCTTTTTGCAGTGGCTAAAAACTATTTTGTACATATTTCAAGTAATAACTCTAAGTTCTTGACTATAAGTGCTCAGTCCAAAGTCTGGCCTGAATGAAGCTGCATAAGAGACGAACAGCTTTCTACACAAATATCTGGTGGAGGGAAGCAGAGAGGGGAGTGAGAATCCAAGGACTGCAGGATGTCAGGCCTGAAAGACTCCTCAGAGAGCCTGCAGCCCTCCTCCCTCGTTCACAGAGAAGGAACACTTGTGGGGCCCAGAGAGGGGCAGTGGCCAATAAAAGGTCATGCGGTTGAATTATGATGTCCAGAAAAGACAGAACTGGGCTTTGTGAACAGCCAGCATCAGGAAACAGTAGACAAGTTGAAGGCTGACCTGGGGGCCTGAAACCATGGCCTGCAGAGAATCCTACAGGAGGTTCAGAGGGGGCCCATTCAGGAGCTGCTCAGGATGCAGATGGCTTGACTTTGAGGGGAGGCCTGGACAAATCAGACCACATCGCCCTTCCCTAGCGTCCATGGTAATGGGAAAGAAGAAGTTTTAATATAAGTAGAAGGGGGCGCTTTGGGGCTGATGGGGAGGGGCTTGCACAGGAACTGGCATTTTCTGAGCATTTCTGATGCACCAGACATTGTGTGAGGTGCCTTCTTGTGCATTCTCTCATTTAATCTGCACAGAAGCCCCATGAGGTAAATATGATGACCACAATTACAGAAAGACAATGATGGTAAGAAAACTTAAGTGCCTGGGCGCAGTGGCTCATGCCTGTAATCACAGCACTTTGGGAGGCCAAGGCAGGCAGATTACTTGGACTCAGGAGTTACAGACCGGGCTGGAGAACATGGCAAAACACCATCTCTATAAAAAAAAATAAAAAAAAAATCAGTCCAGCGTGGAGGTGTGCACACCTGTTGCCCCAGCTACTCAGGAGGCTGAGGCAGGAGGATCACTTGAGCCTGGGAGTGGAGGTTGCAGTGAGCCGAGACTGTGCCACGGCACTCCAGCCTGGGTGACAGAGTGAGACCCTGTCTCAAAAAAAAAAAAAAAAAAAAAAAAGAAAAAAGAAAAGAAAAAGAAAAGAAAACTTAAGTTACATAACTTGCCCCAAATCTCACAGCCAGCAAATGGCAGAGCTAGAATTGGAGTCTAGGTTGGTCTGGTTCCAAAGCCTAAGTTTCCTCAAGGAACCAGAGGGCTCCAATAACTCTGTGTTCACCAACTGAGAAAAGGAGAAATGTCTCTCCTAAATGGGGATACAACAAATGCTGTTCCCTTCCTGAACCCTGAGTATGGAATCAGCTCCTTTACCCAGTCCATGCCTATCCAGGTACACTGGCTGGCTCTTGAGAACTAGGGTTTATGTTTGCCCAACAGGACTTTGAAAATCCCCACCTCAGAGGATATCAGCATCTGGGACTCCCTTTCCCCCCAGCAGAGTTCCCACAGTGCCAGGCTCGGAAGAAGATGGGCTAGGACCTAGCTTGAGTGCAGGGAGGAGAAGGAGCTGGAGTCCAGGACTCTTGATTTCCAAGTTTTCAGTCCCGAATCTGTCCTGTAACAACCTCAAAGGCATACGACCTGCTCTTGCCACCCATCAGACACCTGCCCCCAACCTATGTCTCCCTAGGCACCTCTGCCGCCACTGAGCCCTGACTCTGGGAGAAGCAGGCAGGCCCAGGAGAGTATATATGTCAGTTAGGGTTTGTCGTTTACACGTGGAGATCATTAACGAGACTTATTTTTAAATTGTAATTGCAAAATGTAAATGCTCCCCAAACTGATGTGTAATTGCTACCCCCTCCACCCCAGCCCTTCCCCTCTGGTGCCAGCTTTGCAAGGAGAGAATTAGAAAATAAAAAGGGGGTGGATTATGTAAGCAAAACGATTTTAAAAAAAGAGAGCGAGAGAGCTAAGAATTTAAGTGAGACAGCTGGCAGCTTCTCTGATTGCCACACTTCCAGCATTAGCTGCAAAAATTGTCCTTGCCAGTTGCACCCATCCAAGCAATAGTGTCAACTGTATTTAGTCCCTAGAACAGACCATACTGTCACTCACTTGGCAAGACAGTTCAGTGGTTTGTGTGTGTGTGTGTGTGTGTGTGTGTGTGTGTGTGTGTGTGTGTGTGCCGGGAGTGAGAGGGCGAAGGTCAGGGGTGATATTTGAGATTGCCTCTACCCCATCTGTGGAAGCCTTCCATTCCACAGGAAGACATAATTCACAGCAGGATTAGCAGTCCATCAACCCTGTTACCCATATTCTACCCTGCAGGTGATGGCAAGAACACCTCCATTCTCCATTCTCCCAGGCTCAGACTGTCTTCTTTGGACTCCAGCATCCGCAGCCTCAGCCTGCAGAGAAACAGGACTCTACAGGAGGGTTCAGCAGGAAGAACCTCAGTTCTATTCTCAGTCCCAGAGAAAGCCACTGAACTTGGGCATCAACACACTTCATACAGATTCACCAGGTGTAGAACCCTTGTCCCTTTTTGTACCTTCTTCCCATCTTCTTCAAGCCCTGTCCACAGCTGCCGTCTACAGTGAACTCCTTGTGACATCACTCTGCACATAGACTCCAAATGTTGAAAAGGCTCAACTTGCCCCCGAAACGGGCGTCGCTCAATCCACACTCAGCAAAGTCTTGACCCGCTTAGATACCCTCCCCTCGGCTTCCATGGCGAGGAGCCACAGCTCTCCCATGCCGCGCACCCCTCGTTGACCTAGAACACAGAGCTCCCCAGACAGGAAGAAGCACAAGCATTGCTGCCAGTCTGTCCTCAGACATGTGGTCCTCTGAATAGACTAGCTGCCTGGGGAGCTGGGCAAAGGGACATTCATCTTTGTGGTTAACTCTCCCTTGTTCCCTCTCTCCAGGGAAACTAGCTTTGTGAGGAATTTAGCAATGATTTCTGCCACCGAAATGGAGTCTGATGTAAGGTCATGGTGGCCCTAAGACATCAGGGAAATTTACAAAATCCTGGGCAAGGTCCTTTGGAGTTGGGGCCCAATCTCACCATAGCACATCCAGCCTTTATCATGGCATACTGGAAAGAGGAAAGGGTTGTTTTGGATAACTGCATTTCTAAATCTTTGCCTATATTGATACTTACATCTGTGAGATCATGAAGTTACTTAAGGGGATTAAAAAAAAAACCCTATCTGGCCAGGCATGGTGGCTCACGCCTGTAATCCCAGCACTTTGGGAGGCCAAGGAGGGTAGATCACGAGGTCAGGAGATCGAGACCATCCTGGCTAACACGGTGAAACCCCGTCTCTACTAAAAGTACAAAAAATTAGCTGGTGTGGTGGCAGGTGCCTGTAATCTCAGCTACTCGGGAGGCTGAGGCAGGAGAATGGCATGAACCCAGGAAGCAGAGCTTGCAGTGAGCCGAGATAAAAAAACAAACAAACAAACAAACAAAAACAACAAAAAACCCTATCTGATAAGAGGATTAAATGAGATTCTTTATTCAAAATGCTTTATACATTCAAAAGAACTGTTTCCCTGAGTTCATCAGAAACACCTGGAATGCAGTTTCCATTCAAAAACACTTGGGGTGCAGGTTCCTGAGTCCTAATCCTGACTCAAAGCATCAGAAGCTCTGGCTTTAGGGTCCTGGAACTGCATTTTTAAGGACCCCCCTTCCCCACCACCAGGTCATTCATGGGTGATAATGTTTGCTCCGGAGGGTGGTACAAATGTGATCATCATCATGACACTAAGCAAGGCCCCACCTATCGGTATCAACAGCCATTTATTGTTCACAGAATACGTAGATGAAAAGAGACAGGAATAAGGCTCCTCCTCAAAGAGCTAAGGAGGTGACATAAAGACCTGAGAATAATCATACCATGACTGGCTTTCAAGGTTGTTCATGTTAAGTGTCAGCTCACGTTCTGAGCTGGTTCTAGAGGTCTTCAGAAGGAAAGATAACCTTTCCTTGTTACATAAAGATAACATGTAACTATATGTTAAAGGACAGAAGAGCATTTCTTACTGTTCAGGTGATCCCAGGGGTCTCTGAGATGGTCCTCAGGAGAGTCACTCCCCTCTTTCTACTTCCAGCTGGGCCAGAATTTCTTCCTGTCTGCTAGAGCCAAAGCACCTGCAAAAAAGTGTAGAGCAGCTCTCAGCAGGGAAGGCAAGAATTGCAGGGGTGGTCAGAGAAGAGGGGCTCCCAGGCTCTGCTCTCCCCTTTCCAGGCCTCTGCAGGATGTCCTCTATTCTGTAACTTCCCTTGCAGCCGTTTCTCCTGTATTTTCCATTCAACTCTCTCTCAATGTGGTTACTGAGGCCCACGGAGTCACTGTAGCCAAGCCCTGGTCTCTGTTGAACACGCCCTATTGTTGCCCATCTGGCTTCCTGTCACCAGGAGTGCCTGCGGCCCTCTCCCCCAAGTGCGGGCAGGTGCCTGTGAGTGATTTCTGTGGTGCTGGGAAGACCACAGCTGACATCTTGTATTAAGGCTGTGGTGAAACTCAGAGGAAGGGGGGACAGTGGTAGAGTTGTCAGGTGTGTGGATGCAAATGATAGCAGGCTTCGGCTGGGATCTGGAGAGACACTGGGGGTAAGGGTGGGTGGGGAGGTGTCCAGGGCAGAAGGGAGGAAGAGTCGGAGGGGAATGGACCCAAAGCAGCACTTAGCACTAAAGGACAACCTGTGACCTCAAGGTGGCTTTGGCTGAACAACTTATTTTTATTTTTCTATTAAAGCGAATTAATTTTGTTTGTCAATATTTGAAATGGACCACAATGTTGGTGAATGGAGGCTGGGTGGTCAGCACTTCCATAAGGTCTGACTGGACACTTCTCAAACAGTCCCATCAATTTCTCCTTGTGGATGAGTTGCTAATTGGACTTCAGTGAGGCTGTGCTTGGAGTCAGGATGGCGGGGTCAGGGGAGGGGGCTGCTCTGAGGCCTGGCTGCACTTTCAGAGCAGCATCGGGAGAACCACTGGCCAGGAAGGCCAGCCCTATACCAGAGGTAAATGCATCTTTAACATTAACAGTTCCTTCCTAGTTAACACCATCTTACTCTCCCTGTAAAAACACATTTGCACCTCAGTAAAGAATGTAATTAACTGGTGACATGACAACAAGAGGAGCGAAACAGTGGCCCAGGCCGGGAGCTGCAAGGGGTGGTGGTGGTGGGGTGGTGGAAATTTAGATATTTGCCTGAACAAGACTTTCCCATCCTCCCTTCTGGTGTATATATGTGTGTGTGTGTGTGTGTGTGTGTGTGCGCACGTGCACGTGTGTGTGTGTGTGTGTGTGTGTGTGTGTGTGTGTGTCTGTGTGTGTGTGTCTGTGTGTGTGTGTGTGTGTGTGTGCACGCGCGCCCACGCACTGCTGGGAGGTGAGGGTGGCAGAGAGATAGCATCCGGGATCCTGAAGGAGGTTTGAATTCCTGGTGGCAGGAGAGAGGAAGTCGAGGGTGCCGGGAGGTGAGATGAGCTGAAGGAAGCAAGGATAAGCAGGGTGGTTTGTGAATTTCCATTAACAAAAGCTCTCTGGATTAAAACAAAAACCTCTCCCTTTCTTGCACCCCAGGCTCCTCCCAAGAGCAAATAAGGGACACCAGCCATTGCCTGCCCTGGGCAGCCCCTGGGAAGAGCCCAAGAGATCAGGACCAGCTCACAGGCATCATCGTGGTCCAGTTACTCCTAGCTTGTTCCCTGCACCAGGCTTCTCCTCCATGTGACCTTGTTTGTGAACTTTGTGACCGACTCCCAGTTCTGTAGCCACCCCAGCAGCAAACCTGGGCAATATGCCTGATTCCTCCCTCCTCCAAGCCTCATCTCCTTTTCACTCCTCCATCACTATCCCACTTCTCATCCTCTTCCAGGCAGGCCTGAAGATATCTTCCCTCCTTTCCATCCCCAGCGGCACAAGCTACAAAGGACCCCTCTCCCGGCCATGCTCCTCCTTCCCACCATCGGCCCCACAGAGCACCCTGCACTGCTGCTTCCAGGCAGAGCTACCGGGATAGGTGACTTCATTCATGCTCTTCAAGGTCTCGTCTATGCCAGGCACTGCCGACACAGCGTGAGTGCCTCACACCTGTAAATGGGCTTACAGTTGTGGCACCACCCCCGCCAGAAGTACAATGACTTCCAGCTCAGAGAAGGCCTTCAACACACGTCTGCTCATTGTCTAGATTCCTGCTCAGAGAAGGCCTTCAACACACGTCTGCCCATTGTCTAGAAAGCAGCTGGTCCCGACTGCCTTTCTAGACCCATCTTCCACCCTGCACCAGTGGCTCTCTACTCTCCAACCACTCACAACACCTGCCATTCTCCAAACCTGTCCACAACTTCCCACTCCCCTCAATGCCCGATTCTATATTTCTATCTGATCAGATATTTCTACCGGAACCATTCTTCATTGTTCACGCAAACATTCTGGCTGCTGCCTCCACAGCCAGAAGCAATTTTTCCTCCTCTGTGCTTCCAAATAACATGTTGATTGTCATTCTCTAAAAGCTCTAGTCACATCCTGTCTCATGCTATGGTTATCTTAGATATCTTTCATCTCCTTCCAAACTATAAGCTTCTCATGGGCAGAAGTCCTATCTTAAATCTGTAAAATTTTTTCAGTTCACAAAGTACTTTCACATGTAATATCTTCTTTAACTCTTAAAGCAAAACCTGTAAAAATAGGTATTTTAATATGACGATTGTGTTACCTTTAAAAAATAGCAAATACTTCTCGTAAAAAATAGATAAATAAGAGGAACAATGTTAAGTTAGTAGCAATCCTACAATACAAATATAAGCTACAGTTAATATTTGGAATAAAATGCTTCTTTTTTAAAAGCAGTATCATATTTTCATACTGTTCACTAAATAGCCTTTTATATTTAACAACATATCATAAACACCTTTTCATGTAGGAGGAAAATATATTATAATTTTAATGATTATGGCATTCCATTTATGGGTATACTATAATTACTCAGACAAATTCTTCACATTTGTTGTTTAGATTATTTCCAGTTTTTGCTATTATAAACATGTAATGACTATTCTTGCAGCGGACTCTTACTCCAGACTTGATAATTTTCTTAGGATACGTTTCTGGATGTGGAATTGCCAAGTCCAAAGGTGTGTTCATCTTAAGGGATTTTTACAAATTACTTGCAGGAAGGTCACACCCATTTACGTCCGTCAGCAGCATATGAGAGGCGCCTTTCCCCTGCCAGGTAGTTGCTCTGATTTTGTAGACGTGGAAAACGAGGCTTAGGAGAGTCAAGCACAGGGCTTGCCTAAGAAAACAGCCAGCAAGTGGTGTATCTTCTGACTCCAGACATTTTGTTCTCCCAAGCTCTCTGCTTCTCTTTGCCCTTCTGTTTCTTACCAATCCAAAGAGAGTGCTTGCAGTGGTAAGTGCTAAATTAATGTTGCACTCACCGAAGGAGAGGCAGAGGTGGCTGTGCCCTGAGTGGCAGGGTGGGACAATCCTGGGAGCTTTGCTAACATCAGCCTTTTCCAGGTGTCTGAGGCTGACTTGGCAAATGACAGATCTGTTCTTCGGTAGCTTTTTACTACTCCCTCCTGCCCTTTTCTGGGAAGGTACAAATTGCTTCAATTTAGTCCCCATATATTAAGAATCTACCTTGTGCTGGTGCCTGGGCATCAAAGACAAAACACACACACTATCTGTCTCTGTCACTCTTTCTCTCTCACTCACTCTCTCTCTTTCTCTCTCTCTCCCCTGCTCTCTCCCTGTCTTCTAGGTGCTTACAGTCTAGTGGGCAAAACAGAAGGTAAAGAAATAATTGTCACCTACAATGTGTGTGTGATGCTGCTTCTGACTGTCAGCCTCCGGATCCCACAATGGCCGGAGCAGGGCTCAGGGCCAGGGTCAGGGTTGGGGAGGGGAGGAAGCCCAGCCTGACTCCAACCTCTGTCTCCTTCATTGTGTCCCTACTGGTGCTGGGGGTCCAGGGCTCCCTCTGACATCCTGCTGTAGCCATGTGTTCCTTGTCTTTCTGCTCTAGCTGAGCCTCTGCTGTCCCCATCCCAAGACGACCCAGAGGAGCTAGAACTCCTCAGAGAGGAATCACTGCAATATTAGGGAAAGAAGCTGACCCTGCTCTCCTCTCAGGGATTGATAAAACACATTTGAGAGAGGAAGGACTATCCAAGGTGACACCAGCACGCCCCCATGCAGGGCACCGCTTCAGGGCTACAATATACTTGGAATTCTCCTTCCCAGAACTGATAACTGCCAAGTTCTACTTGTTTCCCAACAGCCTACAGAAAGCTACAAGGCATAAATACAGTCTGTAATCTCCTTCCTGTCACTGCCAGTGATTCCGCAAAGCACAAGGGGGACCACTCACACGACAGAGAGCCAGGCTGGCAGGGAGGAGGAGACCCCTGATGGCCGCAGCCATCCTCCCAGCCTCCAACCCGCCACTTGCCCTCCACACTCAAGCTGTGTGCCCCTTTCTAGATTGCAGGCAGAGGGACCCAACACTCCCCTTTTTGTCACCATGCAGAGCTCTTCCTCTGCGAAAGCTAAGAAGCAGCACAGCAGGCAGGGCCAAGCCGCAGATGCAGACAGGAAGTCAGAGAGAAATGGACGGATGGGAAGACACGGGGCTGTGTGACCCAGTGGCCCAGATGGTTTGGGGGACAAGAAAGGAAGCAAGAGCTTCAGATTGAAGATAAAGTTCCTCTGTCCTCACGACCTCCCCACCTCCAGCACTGTGGCTCCCACAGGCCTCTCTCTGCCTATCTAAGTTCATTCTACTGGACCCCTCTACAGACATGAGCTGGCTTCTCCACAGATCACCTTTGCTTGTTTTGCCAACTTGTGCTTAGGCTTTTTGCAGATGAGTTGGATAGGTGAAGACTGAGCCTCTGGAATCTGTGGCCAGAGACCCAAACCAAAGCTTGTTCCCTGTCCACTCTGGGAAGGTTACCCCACTCTGGTGTCTATCTCAGGAGCATAAAATGCCAAGGTTCTTGCCCCAGTTGGCCCAAGAGCCTAAAAAAGAATCTCTTCTCACTCTGGAGCCCACCGAGGGCCACTTCTTCCATGAGTGCAGTGATGAAAGTGTGGTTTGCCTACACGGACACCCCAGCAATCCCTAATAGCT